GAACCAATGCACTCAGTAAAGAATATGGCATGTCATCATCGACTGCCTATACAATCAGCTGTTTGACATGTAAACAAAGCTGCCAGGAATACGACATACACACCTCAAATTAAGTTAAAATATAATACAGTGACCCCTCGGTTAACGAACTCAATCCGTTCCAGAAGGTCGTTCGTTAACCGAAAAGTTCGTTAACCAAAACCATTGTTTCAATGGGTTTTTGGGTAATTGGTTAAAGCTCACCGAAAATTTCCTAAATTCAACAAAAATGGTAGAAAAGTTCACTTACTTTGAGGTGTGTATGTAGAAGGCTCCTGGATGATGATGATGATGGGAATTAGAATGGGGGTGGAGGAGAAGGAAGAAGAGAAGGCATTGGGGTGGAAGAGAAGTCACCCCATGGCACCATTTCACCCATAAAATTTTAGTTCTCTTGGTGTATTTCAAGATTATTTTCTTTAAATCAACACTGCACTGCATTATATATTGTCAATATGTAAAATATATTTCAAAATGACCAATAATTTGCTTGGAAACACAGAAAAAAGCGTTTAGTTGAAGAGAGTCTCAAGCAAGATGTTACCTCCAGTGAAAACAGAGAGAGACTAACGCCTGTTTGCTGTGTTAAGAGGCTGGATGCCGCGCATTAAACTAGTCACTTTACCTTCAATTATGTTCAATAATTGTTAAAATGACTAAAAAATTGAATATTAAACGTTTAAAATTATTGAATAGTATAAACTTCTTGATATTTACTAAAATAGTAAAGAATTTAAGCCCTAGAACCGATTAATGTATTGGCGGACTGATACTAAAGCTGGTTGCCCGGTCAGTGCAAGCGAAAACATGTTGAGGTCGGTTTGTAAGAAATTCGTTAACCGAATTTTTGTTCGTTAATCGAATTGAAGATCCTTATGAAAGGCAGTTCGTTAACCGAAATTTCGTTAACCGAGGCGTTCGTTAAACGAGGGGTCACTGTATTCTATTGTTGTTTTTTTATTTATTATTGTACAGTATACTGAACAGTACAGTACTGTATATAGTTTATATTTAATGTTTTGTTAATTCTATTACCGGTATACAGTACTTTGTATGTATACTTTTTCTGTGAGTTGGAACCAATTACTCAATATCCCATTGCAATAATAGATTCAGCTTATAAAATTTTCGGTTAACAACCGACTCTGTGGAACCAAATGTGTTCGTTAATTGAGGGACCACTGTATTCTTTTTTTCAGCCTTACAAGCCCTTTCTTGCTGTAATGCAGGATGGTCAGAATCAAGACTAAACACCAACTCTTTCTTCATTAACTGTCAATCAATCATTTACTGTAATTAACTGTCAATCAATCACTTACTGTCATTCAATCTTGAACTGAAATAAGAGACGAGTTGTGCTGTGGTACACACCTCTCATGCAAATTTTGTATTCTTCCATAACTCAATGAACAATCTTCAGATGTATCACTCTGATGGCCATCATTCTACACTAATGTTCAAAATGAATTTCAAATTAGGCTGCACCATTCCCTCCAACAAATGATAAACGAGTAAAAAATATCATTGTAGGAAAATCAGTTCTAGTAATGTTTAAACACAATTGATACAAATGAGATTTCAAGCTAATTATCAATGTGAATATGTAAATCCAAGTACTGTATGTGTAAATGTTACTATCACACAAATAAGAACATGACAAGAAGTGAAGGGACAACACAACATTAAAGACTAGCACTTGCTAAACACCTCATACAAGTGTAAACACAACAGTATTTCTTACCAACTCTTTTATACTGTTCCCTTTTTTTTCTTTTTCCTTTCTGAAGGCATGGAAGTAAGCAAAGAAAGGGTGTGCTAGGGGCAAAGGGTGGTCAGTGCAAAAGCTGCAGCATTTATCAAGCCAAAGATTTAATACATTACAAAATACTCACAAATATATGAAAAGAAGGTTCAAACAAATATACGTGTTTCAAATTCCACAACAAACTTTAAAAATTTTCAAATTACAAAAAACAAAAATCTAATTCAAATCATTGCCAATGGTACAGAACTGTGATCAGTGTTTTCATAAGTTTCCCAAATGCAACAAAACAGAGTTCCCTCCCATATATGAATTTATGAGTAAGTTGTGGAAATTGTGCCTCATTTCACCCATTAATGAGACATCAGTCTAGTAATTACTTTTCCAACTTTAACCTGTTACAGTATCAGCAAGAAAATACCCATTGTTAGCAAAGATTACAAATGCACTATGTGATAACAAAGTGGTTAGTAAGATCCCTTACTTCTTTACCAAAAGGTTGCACAAAAGATTGCGTGAAGTTAGTGTATATAAGTCATAATTAGCAGGCAATATACTTAGCCCCAATTCCAAAGCAGCACTGAAATAGCTGAAATACACATGACAACATGTTCGATAAACTTGGTAACTATTTTAATAACATATTTAGTGCTGCTTTAAAACAGAGGCCTGTTAAGGTTACAAGTCTTCAAGAAGTAATAATGCTGAAACAGAACAATGCATGGTGAAAAACATACCTTTTAGTTACCTTGACATTTAGGAGTTTACAATAATCACCACAAAAATCAATTAACATTCAAGTGTTGACACTGACAGTCACAAAAAAAATAATAATAAAAAACACAAAAAAAACATCAACTTTCAGCATAAACCAAAATAATCATCTTGTGGCACCTATACTATATATGCACACAAAAATAAATAATAATAACAATATCACAATCAACCCCAAGGATAATGTGCAATTATTACATGAAAATAAAATCTGACATCAATCCCAGTTTGTGCAACATCATCATCATGTATCCTTTGTCATAAATCCTCTAGCTTAATTGAATTATAGAAGAAATTATTTCTTAATAATTTGCCTGTGATAAATCATTAATAAAAAGTTAAAAACTAAGTAGTATACCAACAATTCCCAGTACAGTATAGGTATTTTCGGGAGATAAAATACTGTACAAAAACCAAAGATTGAACGAAATTTTGTAAAATTAAAAAGCCCCAAGGCACCAACCTGTGACAAGGATCTAAAAGTTAAATAAACTTCATAATTAAGTCATCCTCCACCATCATACCTGGGTCACAAAATATATCCACTAAGTATGGAGACACTTAAAATAGGAAGAAAGCTAGAGAGTTTTGCTTTGAGCATTCCACAAAATGTTCTGATACACCCTTTTGTTGAGATGGGTTACAAAGCATTCAAACCTGATCAACCACCCCAATCCATTACATCTCAGCACCCAAAAGGGAGGAGGGAGGGACAAGTTGCTTATTTCCGACTCAATTCTAAAAAGGGTTTCAGAACTAATCCTCATAGAGCAGTACTGAACAATTCTTATTACCAAAGCTAGCTCAAGTGCACCCCCAAAGGAAGTAATCCTACTAAAATAATGTAATGTTTCACTAATTATAAGTTATGAAGGAACAAACATTTAACTCCCTTGGTGATACAATCCTTCGATGAAGAACTGGAAACTGACCTAAATTTTTTTTCTTGTCTTTCCTGAAGGATGACTAACGAAGCACACACATCTACCCTAAGGTCGCGTGTATATTTTGTGCAATCAAGCAAAATAAAGTAACATAAATCAGAATTTTCTACAGAGCCTGACAACACTTCACTAAGCCATGTCTTTAAAATATACATACTGTACATGTCTTATAAAAATGAGGACAGGAACATCCAACCTCAATACCCACATTCCTTGACTCAAAGGATACAGAAATAATATAGGATTTGGACACAGATGAACCAGTTTTGGTAATTAACCCAAAAAGGGCCAACAAAGAGCCACCAAAACAGCAACCCACTGAGCTGTCTCAGCTTCAAAAACACATGAAGGGAAAAGGGAGAGAAAAAATTGGGGTAATCATCAGACATACCAAACAAAATCTAACGCTTGAACATATTTCAAAGGAGAGAAACCAAGAGAAAAACACAATCTAACCTTCATAGGCCTTGTCATCTACTTGATTAACATTTTTATGAGACACCACAAACAAGAAATCAAACTAAAGCAAAAGTTTATAATTATGATTATAATACTACGGTATATGGACCATTTAAATTAAAAGAAAAACTAATGTAGTATGTCTACTGAGAAGATGACCACTTGCACAGCTTCCCATGGTGAGCATACATATTTCATAGTTCACCAGTGTAATGCATTTTAAGATTTGTTGATAATTACTTTAATGGAGCACAGCTGTTAAACTGAATTTCCTTACTACATTCATGCACAGTAATAATTATTAGTTAAAAAAATCATTTATCAAAATATTGTAAAAAGTTAAAAAGGATAAAAAAATTAGGTGAAAATACTACCCACATTTTGTTAAATATATTTTCATATGTTTACACACCTTTCTGCATTACACTTGCAAGGTGTTCTGTTACTTCTAAGGAAACAGCAACACAACACTATGTATGATATACAGTACGTAAGAAAATACTGTTTAATAGCTGTGTACCACTAAATAGAATATTAATAAATCCCAAAACATTACACTGTTACTTTTCATACCTCACTAAGGTAATGGCTAAACCACTAATAAGATTTATCTTATCCACGTTTTCATTGTGGATTTACATGATATATATATATATATATATATATATATATATATATATATATATATATATATATATATATATATATATATATATATATATATATATATATATATATATATATATATATATATATATATATATATATATATATATATATATATATATATATATATATATATATATATATATATATATATATATATATATATATATAATTATTACAGCAGTACATTAGTATCCCCAAATCTTGTCATTCCCCACATTGAATTTATCTAGACCACCATCAAGTAGAATGTATTACTCAACAGGTTTTCATAGAAATTCATAAAACAATTAAAATATTACAAGTAGGACAAACTTAGTTACTACAACCTGTAGTATTACACTGTCAATACTCACGTCTCCATCTTCATCCACCTCTTCATCTACAACTTCAGCCTTGTACTCCAAGAGGAGATCTCGGATGGGCTTCACATCTAGGTCTTTGGAAATGAATGGATGCTGAAAAGACAGAGAATATCATGACGGTGACCAATTTGTAGAAAAATATTTGACAATTTTGAATAAAAATACTGTTTCATATACCTTATTATAATTAGTATTATCCTATAAATAGAATAGGAAGAGAGAGGTGTGTGTGTGTGAGTAAAAAATGCTCGTTTCAGGCACTATATTACTGGGATTTGCACATTTAGAAAATAAAAACAGTAGACTGTGTACAGTAAATCCCTGCTACTGTACATTACAGCCTGAGAATCATGGTTTACTAATTTGAAGCAAACTAATTGATCATCATCATGAATGTTTTACAGCCATTCTCTACACTTACGTGGGTTAGCTGTGATTACCTCATGGCAACTGTTGAACAAAACCAGAACAGGATGCACTCCCCCCCCAAATCACTACAAACCCAGGGTGCCAACCCAGAAAATGCAGCAGAGACCAGGGGATGGGGACAACTTTGGTGACCTAGTTGCCATCAAACATCTTGAAGCAAAGTTTATTTACTGGATGCCCTTGCTAACACTAACCAACAGGGTGGGAAGTTGGCAATGTGGGTATTAAGTCCCGAGGCAATCAAAAAGACTTCATTTTGAGATTTAAATGACCTCTCATTCCCTCCACATTGTCCAATAATGTTGGACTTTGATCATAATACAGTACCAACTGTAGTGTGCTGCACATAGTCAGTGTAGATTTATGAAGGGGAGATATAGATACCTATATTAATATTTAGCCTTTAACTAAAATGAAAATGTGCTGCTCAAAGGGGCCTGATGTGTATATCAAAAATTCCCTAGTGATTGGCCCACAATTGTAGATGCTTTGTTGATGACCTTTAACTGATGTTAACCATAAAAGTTCTTTGCTTAATCTGACTACCTAAGAAAATATCATAAAAACGGGAAAAAAGTGTAGTCAACAAGATGGAATGTGAGCTTTCTGGTAACTTCTGTCCCATGCTGACCAAAAGAATAAAAGTCTATATTTTAGAATAAGACCAACTAGATAATTTTCTTTATTAAAGATCAGATAACCTTTTAACTGATGCAGTCAATCCGTGACGGTGAGTGTTAAGTGGTTAATAGAAAAAATTTAACCTTTTATCTGTTAAGATTTCATGGTATTCAGTCAATAGTGGATGCTTTCTAGCATGGAGTAACCTTCATTATTGATCTCTGACCTTGACCTTTGTCTACTGTTGACCATTATTGACTCCAATAAGTGTTTTCATATTTAAAGTATTTTCCTAAAATTTGATGGGTGAGGTGAGGGTTTTGATGATATGCAGAAAGTGGAGGTGAATGTACTGTTTGACTCACATTTTCAAGAACCAACAAAAGAGGAGCTTAAAGCTCTTATAGCAGATGACAGTAAAAGTGATGATGGTGATGCTGAAGTGGGACCCGAAAAACCTAAATTAACAATTAAGGCAACCTCTGAATTTCTCCTGCAAGCACCACATGAACTTGCTGAGAAGAGTTTTCGACATAGATCCAATAATGAAGAGAAGTTCAAAGTTCAAAAGGGCCCTTGATGATATTTGTGTGCCATACAGAGAATTTTTTAAAGATTTACATACAAAAAGCACACAACAGAAAATAGCAGACTTCTTCTCGAGGCTGCGGTCACCCCAACCATCATCTACAACCATCTAACTATGGATTGGTGAGTACAGTAATATGAATCAATAATGCTTATCATTAATATTTAATTTTTTTATGGTATGTTAGTTCTATTATAGGTTGATAACCCCTTATCCGAAATTCCAAAAACCTAAATTTTTTTCGTGGAGCATCACTCTTGTACATAACACCCCCCCCCCTTTTTTTATATACAGTATAGTCTGGATTTACGCAATTTTTGTTTACGCATTTGGTCGTTTACGCGGTTTTTGTTTATGCGTTTGGTCATTTACACGGTGCCTTGCTAGAATGAAAATGCTTTAATTACGCGGTAAATTTGGTCATTTACGCAGCAAGCGGCTGGAGAGGTCCAGACCGCAGCGCCATTTTTTACCCACACGGTCCATTCTTGACCATACACGGGAAGAGGCGCGGTGAGTGGTGCGCATTAGGCCGCTCTTACGTTATCGCTGATGTCATATGACGTATCGGACTGTGATTGGGCCACGCATCCTTACCACCCACGCATTCCCTCCGCCGCTAGCTGTGATTGGTCTAATGTAACATGGCGTGCCCTGCCACCAGAGGGTAGAAGTCGCTGACCTAGCCGGGCCTGTCTCATTGTTCTCAGTTCGCGTATACAGTTCTCTCTTGTGCCCGCTATTCCCCTCACAATGGCTTCAGCTGGACCCCCACCACCCGAGAAAACCCTTGCATTACCTGGACCAAGCCATGAGAATGTGAAGGAAATCATCGAGTTGGGGTAGAAAATTAAGCTCATCCTTGACAACGACCCAGACAAGCATCACAATAGAGACTGGCCCGACCCCCAAACTGCACTTTTTCCGACACAATACCTATGTTGTAGTAAAAATAACATCTTAATTTTATGATGGTATGCACACACAATTAATATTTAAGACAAATACAGTCGCCAGGTTAATGTCCATTCAAATAATGGACTCAAATCCCCCCCCCCCCATTTCCCAGCTCACTAGCTCCTACCTCTCTGAGAAATGTTTGGGTGAAAACACTAGATTTTAACGTTTAGTAATAAATAATACCTCAGACTAAAGTTAGGATAATATAATTGACATTTCTGGATTCCTTGCAGGTCAGGGAATATTTTGAATGTAAACTTCATATATTTTGCACAAAAGATAAAATATTTGCTTTGTGTAAACCAAATTATTACATTAGATCTAAAATTTGTATGTCTAATGCAAAATCCATGATGTATATATTCAAAATGATCATCATATTGTAAGAATTCCAGCAATGTAAATTATATTCTGGCCTGGTAATTTGTATGAATTTTGAGCTAAAAAAAAAAAAAATTATACTTCACCACGTATACGGGTAGATGAACCGCGTTAAGTGAAAGTTCGGTTCTGGCGAGGCACTGCGTATATGCGAAATCGCGTTAAGTGAAACCGCGTTAAGCGGGTAATACTGTATATATATATATATATATAATATATATAATATATATATATACAGTGGTCCTTCGGTTAACGAGCACCTCGGTTAACGAACTGCCTCCCATAAGATTCTTAAATTCAGTTAACGAACAAAAATTCGGTTAACGAATTTCTTATGAACCGACCTCAACATGTTTTCGCTTGCACTGGCCGGTCAACCAGCTTTAGTATTAGTCCGCCAAATACATTAATCGGTTCTAGGGCTTAAATTCCTTACTAATTTAGTAAATATCAAGAAGTTTATACTATTCAATAATTTTAAAAGTTTAATATTCAATTTTTTAGCCATTTTAACAATTATTGAACATAATTGAAGGTAAAGTGACTAGTTTAATGCGCGGCATCCAGCCTCTTAACACAGCAAACAGGCGTTAGTCTCTCTCTGTTTTCACTGGAGGTAACATCTTGCTTGAGACTCTCTTCACTAAACGCTTTTTTTCTGTGTTTCCAAGCAAATTATTGGTCATTTTGAAATATATTTTACATATTGTCAATATATAACGCAGAGCAGTGTTGATTTAAAGAAAATAATCTTGAAATACACCAAGAGAACTAAAATTTTATGGGTGAAATGGTGCCATGGGGTGACTTCTCTTCCACCCCAATGCCTTCTCTTCTTCCTTCTCCTCCACCCCCATTCTAATTCCCATCATCATCATCATCATCATCATCCAGGAGCATTCTACATACACACCTCAAAGTAAGTGAACTTTTCTACCATTTTTGTTGAATTTAGGAAATTTTCGGTGAGCTGGAACCAATTACACAAAAAATTAAATAAATAAATAATAAATATATATATATATATATATATATATATATATATATATATATATATATATATATATATATATATATATATATAATCCCCATGAGAGGATGACCAAAGATGGGTGCAATAGGAGAGCTGCCTCTCCTGTGTGTCAATTTAGTGCGCTTAAACCTCTCATACTCGTTCATAATGCCCAAACACAAGCCAACCTTTCTTCATTTATTTGTACTCATTTACATGCACACAGTATCCTAAGAGCAAAGCTGTACTGTACATGTACTCAAATGTACTAAATAATTACTACAATTTTTGTCTTGTGCAAACTATAGCATGTTTATATTCAAATTAATCATTATCTTACAAGAATCCCAGCAATGTAAGTTTTATTCTCCCAGGTCAGTTCCGTGACATTTTATAAGAGAAAAACCAAAACTCACTGTAATGGACAGATAAATACTTCACTAGACCTCGTGGTGCCAGCTGTCAAACACATCACTTCCCCTCCCTCTTCCCAGCCACTTCTAGTGTATATGTACATACATATAGTGATTTAAGGGCGATTTAGGGGATATTTAGGAGTGTTTCTGACTTAACGCGTTTTTGGTTTTACACGAGGTCCTAGGAATTTAACCCTCGCATAAGTTGCGAGTCTACTGTACTACCCTCTCTAATGTTACCCACTTTCGGCATCTCGGCTCCCACCTGTCCACCACTGCGGACATCGAGGAAGAGATTCAGCATCGAATCAGTTGTGCATCTCAAACCTTTGGCAGACTCCCAAAAAGTGTCTTCAGCTGCAGAGAGCAGAAATTATCTACAAAGTTACAAGTATACCGAGCAGTGGTCCTCCCTACCCTGCTATATGCCAGCAAGACATGAGTCACATACAGGAGGCACATCAAGGCACTTGTAAACTTTCACTTATGTAGTCTACGTTCCATCCTCCGAGTTCGCTGGGAAGACAAGAGAACAAATGTCAGTATTCTTGCTGAAACCAACTGCAGAAGCATCGAGACTACCATTATCCATGAACAACTACGCTGGACTGGCCATGTTACCCGCATGGACGACAGTAGTCTGTCAAAGCAGCTACTTTGCAGTCACCTAACGAATAGTAAACGTAATGCTGGCGGGCAACTGAAAAGGTATAAGGATAGTCTTAAGACAAACCTGAAAAATTGCCAAGACGACCCCCTCAACGAGTTAACCCGACTGCATAACGAGGCAAACAAGCACCAATGCCAGAAAGACGCTGCCTCTCCCGCATTAGATGTAGCCCCCCCACATGTGCAATATCTGTGAACGACCTAGGTGACATCCTTAGTAACCCATATCACTGTAATAGCTCGATGATCGTCAAACTCAATTCCAAGTGACAGCAAAGGTGTGTGAAGTGATATCTCTGTTAGCCAGAACAGTTGGTGTAGAGCACTTCTGGGAATGATATATACTGTATATATAATGGTTGCCCCTCATGTAAGGAGGATGGTCGGCCCAAGGGCCACTTAGGCATGAATTTTTTGAAGGTGTAGAAGCTATCGCCAACACAACAACCACACCCTAAGTTAACGAGCTGCATTACCCAGTGTCAAGGAATAGTCCGAGAAGACCGGACAACTCGCCAACTGCACTGGATAACCATTACCCCGGAACATGATTCGCAAATCAATTAACATCCAGGTTCCCAATTACTGCTGGGTAGACAGAGGCAAATGGCGTAAAGAAACTTGCCCATAGTCTCACCCTGTCCGGGGATTGAACCCGGGTCTGCCCGCTTGTAAGGCGAGCATGCTGACCGTTACACCAAAGGTCGCCACTGTATGTATACATACATACATACATACATACATACATACATACATACATACACACACACATATACTGCTCCTTCCTCTTGATTTTATGTAATATTTTACATGAAAAAATATAAATTTACATAGTTTTACCTTCAGAAGTTCCACAGCAGTTGGTCTAAGAGACGGGTCCTTCACAAGGCACTTGCTAATGAAGTCGTTGAATTCCTTGGAATACCTGCAGAAAAATATTTTCATACTAAACTACATGAAATTTAATTAAGTTTCCTGGAATCAAGTTAAGTACAACTAGACACAATTAATTAATGACACATTGCTTTCGTACTGTTACAGAGTAACGATTCATTTACAGACTCACCTGATCTCTTCTACAGTCCAACTCTCCTTTTCTTCTCTCAGCAACACTTTTTGTAAGGCTTTTTCACAAACCTAACTTCACAAAATGAATTCTATGACAATGTACATTCAACTTTTATATATACAGGGGGTCCTCGGGTTACGGACGAGTTCCATTCCTGAGGACATTCTTAAGTCGGATTTGTACGTAAGTCGGAACACATGCTATGTGCATACCGTACTTACAAAACAATGTTTAAAATCCCACTATATCATAGCCATAGTCCTTATATACATCTAAAATCACTTAATTTAAGGCAAAATAAGTAGAATGACAAAAGACAGTAAATGAAAGTAAAAAATAAGTCATCAGGTAAATAAAATATTGTAAATTTCAAGTTTAACCCCGTTCGTAAGTCAGGGACCTTCAGTATACAGTATAGTATACGCCTGTATATAAAATCTAAGGTACTGCTCTCTGCTCAGTCATGCACACTGCTGCTTCCTGAATATCCACCCCCCCTCTATTCTAGTGCATCCTTCACCCCTTCTTGCACTGTACCTCCTTATTAGTCTCCACTCTCTCCTTTCCCACAATTTTTCTGGTATCCATTTTTATGATCAAAAGTAAGGAGATAGCCCAGGTTCCCATCCTCCTCCTGCAGTGAAGAATGGGGTGGTTAGATATGTGTTGGATCCTTGGCAATGTATTGTTCCAAGGGGACAAATTTTGGTATTTTTGCAGTTTCACTCCCAATTGAGTTAGAGGAATTTTGGGTTCACCAGAAGTTATATTTTGTCAATTCCAAAACTTTTTCCAATACCACTTCCATCAAAAATGGATAATAACCGAGATGGTAAATAATTCACGTAAATCTGCAGTCACCCATGTTGTCTGTCTGTTTACAATTGACCTGCACCAGGCGTTCTCACGTAAAAAAGAAAAAGGAGAGTAAAATTACACCATAATGTTTCAACAAAGTTGCTTTCATCGGTACCAGATATCAAAATAAGTATTCTGTTTAATAAGGTTCCGCGGTAAGGAAGTTAGGTAAGGTAGGTAGGTTTCTTTGGTTGGATAGGCCAGATTCTAAGAGCAGGGGATAACTAAAAAAAACTACTCATTTCCAATGGAAGTGAAGGAAAAATTTGAATGAATCACGCCGAACACCATGGGAAAAACCAATTGGTAGTGAAACAGAAATTTTACCCAAATCTTTAGGGTGGGAAAACGGTCATGTCAGAGACCATTCTAGCCATTCTGCCAATTTAGCCAGTGACCCCTTTCCCTTTGGATACTGTTTTATTTCGGTTTGGTTAAAATGGCACTTAAAAATGTAGCACTGCCACTCTGGTCAAGAAGCATATGGAAGCTCTTTCATGGGAGCCAGTGTGGAATATCAAGGGCTATTTGTTTACCTTTGATCATATTATATATTAAATCTAGATTAATCCCCAACTTATGACTGGTGATTTACTCTTGAAAGTGTAAACATTGTTATCAAATGATATCTTGGGTGATGAATCTGTACACACAATAACATAGTCAATGCTAGAGTAAGCATGCTTGACAAATAAGACTAGATGATTTTTTTCTCCATTTGCCTTTTTCCCACATATTTAGGATACAATATCAGAAACATCCTACCTAGCACCTGGATCATACATTATACGAAAACTCAAAATATTATAAGAAAATTCACAAGGTATCTTACTTGGAAGGGTAGTTAAGTTTAGGAGGATCAGATTTCTGGATCTTGAGCATAACACGGACGGGAGAAACTTCATGATTTGGTGGGTCCATCTGTGCAAATTCTATCAACGAAATACCTAGTGACCACACATCAGCCTATAAGGAATGGAAAAATAACAAAATTAGTAAAAGTCTAGAATTACATACATCTATAATGCTATAGCTGTCCCAAACTATCTGATACAGTGAAGACATACATATGCAGGATAATTACAAGTACCTGTATCAAGAATATTAAATAAATGCGCCATGATTCTTCTGATATGGGACCTTCTCAGCAAGAGATAAATAAAACAGTTAACAAGCACTTCCACGACATATGTGACTAGTTTTACATATATCTAATTACTACATAAAACATGCAGTACTCCTAGATTCTGATTGAAACACTGTTACACAGTAAAGGAATGTGAGTACAGTACTGTCTAAATCATCAATGTTGTTACCTAAGTATAACATCATCTTATCACACAAACATGAAAGTAAGTCCTTCCCAACTATGAAGTTAGGTATTCATTCACATGTGGGTAGAAAGGGAGGTGTCCTGGGTGCAAACCAGTGACCCTTTGGACAAAAGGCAAGTGTTGTGTTCATTCAGCCAAAAAAAAAAAATTAAAAATAAGTCTACTAATCCACAAATGATCTCGGCCTAAAAAATAAAAATGAATAGAGGAATAATATTAATTAAGCAGCTCCCTAATGATATACCCTTCAATTGGGGGGGATTCAAGCATACGAATAAGTTAACAAATAACAGGCACCATACACACACAGACCAGGGGTCATGACAAAATACCTATGGCTTATAAATAAATATAAGCAACAGCATCATCTACAGTCCTGTCTACTTTGATCTCCAGAATTTGGAGGAGTACCAAACTAAAACTAAAATTATAAGCAAATCTATAGTGCATATGCATCATTAGAATACACCAGTTTAAAGTATAATATACTCCTACAAGATAGTAAACTTGCCAAATAGAAATCCATAAAATATGCTTACTTTATAATCGTATTTGGCATCAATGAAAGTCTCACACAAGATGACTTCAGGAGCTAACCAGTATGGAGTCCCTATGAATGTTCCTCTTTTATCATAGGTGTTTTTGTTTTTGGCAGACACTCCAAAATCAGCTGTAAATAAATATCATATATAAATGTTCTTCCAGACATATAAGAGCATATACAGAACAGTACCTACCTACTGTGTATCAATAATAAAAATAACATTCAAGTAGGGTTACCAGTAATCATGATCTTTCTCAATATTTAATAACTACAATACTATTTTAATATGCAGTACAGGTTGGACCTCGCTAATCCGGGAAGCTTGGGACCAGACAGGTTCCGGATTAGCAAAAATTCTGAACCATTGAAGCCGAGGTTAAGTAAAGGCAAAATAATCCATCAAATGTACAATTACTGGTACCAATACAACTTACATCAGCATACATCTAGCCCAGGCTTACTGGACTTCTTTATGACAAAGTGTTAGTGCTATGGCACAAGTTTACTTCTTTTTTTTTAAGGCAATAGCCCACCCGGGCACAGGTCTCTGACCCACATCGGGGCCTGGGGGGTAATAATAATAGTAGTAGTAATAATAATAATAATAATAATAATAATAATAATAATAATAATAATAATAATAATAATAATTCATAGTAAATAGATTTTATAATAAAAATAGAATATTAAAACAATAATGATACAGGTAACAATAATAATAAAACAAGAACTATAAAGAAATACAAAAATTAAAAAAATCAATAGTGAGAAACAATATATGTATGTTGTGTTGTCAATAGTAAGAGAAACAATTGAGACCCTGCAATTGTGTGTAGATGAGGCAGAAAGTTAGATCAGCAACCTAGGACTTGGTCACAATTTTCATGATACCATATGGCAGCAGGGCCTACCATTAGACAACACATTATGCTTCCAATATCTTCCCAGGTGGTAGTACCTCCCTGTTTGGTAGCTGCCTACTACCTACTGTACTGTAGGGGCAGGGAAAAAACACTTTTATTTGAGTTGCAGGCTGCACTTTTCAGGCATCGTTTGTATGGCTGTAACAAACACCTGTGCAAAATTTCATGCCATTTCATGCATACTTACCCTGCCGCATCGCGAACGACTTTTTGTCAACTTTTAGTGTATACCAAAAATTAGGTGTCATTTAATGTTTTCCAGGATAATGATAAATTTTACATGGGTGACATCGATTTAATTCACATGTTATTTTACAGGTACACCGTATAGAAAATCATTACAAGTTCATATTGAAATTCTTTTTTGTGCGGAACCTTGGCATCATTTTCCTAGACAATAATCTTTGCCTAATATATCCATCTCTCGATTCGTATCCCGTCACTTCAGTGCAAGCTTCAGTCATCACTTTTATGCCTCTCTCGACCGCCTGAGTGCTGTTTGGCCACTTGGGCACCACTAATGGTGTCTCAAGAATGTCATTAACCTGTAGATTTGACAGAGAAGCAATGTAAGGAGGCTCAGTCTTGAGTTCATTCCTCCAGTTAATCATGGAATGATAGTTTTTTGCTTGCCACTTTAGTTTCGGAGTCACCACCTTTCTCATGTTGACTACAGGAGGCACATCCTCATTCCCATCTCCATCTTTACCCTCCTCATCAGTATAGTTTAACAAATTCTCGTCAACAGCAGCATCAGAATCTTCCTCCTCCTCTTCAGATCTGCCAGTGCATTCTTCCTTTTGCTGATTCTCCTCTCTAATTTTTCTTATCATTGAGACAGCTTTTTCTCTAACAGTCATGTCCTCATCTGCACACATACCAAGAAGAAGTTGATCTGTGTGGGCGAAGTATGCATTTCTCTGGACAGCCTTCTTCACTATCGTCTCCTCCTCACTATTCAGGTGTTTCATATATAGCAGGGACTGGAATACGTTCCTTGAGCCGTGTGTTACGTAAGGGTGTATCTTGATGTAAAACCACATTGGAGCACTGAACTTTATTATTGTAATGACAATTCTTTTCAACTCATGGCTGGGTCTTGATGTTGCTACATACAGCCTGAGGATTCTACTCCATAAGGTGTTCCACCTTGACACACAGGGAGGACCTGGCTCAATAGCAGCCAAGTCATCTTCAACAACACCTGTGATAACTCCTTTACAAATCCTATACAGGTATTTCTGATCCCAGGACAGATCTTTCTCCACTTCATCATTAAACACAGGGAAATCAGGGAAACTGACTGGCTGGAAGGCGACAACTGGAAGCTCAGACAAAGACTCCTTGATCTGCTTTCCAATGGGACCACGCCAATGCTCAGGACCACTTGGTTTACCATCATAGTGATAAAAAACTGCGCGGAAAGGCAGCTCATTTCCGTGAAGCTGACATATGAAATAATGGAGCGGGTGACCAAGTAACATTTCAAGATGATGAATGACTCCATTTTCTGATCCTACATTTACATTGGTTCCATCACAACCAACACACACAATGGGCTGCTGGGTTAGATTTTTCTCCACCAGAAACTCGTGAATAGTTTTGGCAATCTGCTTTCCGTGTCCAGTCTTGGGAGTCACATGTGTGAGATATTCATTGCCAGGCTCAACCATGATGACATAATGATCTTTCACCATCATCCTCGAACTCCATTTCTCGGTCTTCTCATTCTTTATCATCACACGAGTGGCGGTCTTCTTACCATCAAAATAGAGTGACGTCAAATTATCTAAACTAGCCATCTCAATTTCTTGCCTCTTAAATCGGTATTTTTGTCTCGCATCCCGCAGCTTATGTGGTCCAATAACCTGACTCTTGTCATCCTTTGTGATAATGCCATAGTCAGTTAAGGTGGCAGTAGCAATGGCAGCTACTTACCCAGGTCTCCCCTACATTACAGTACAGTAACACAACATTGTGAAATGAAATAAGAAAAGGCTGATAATCAATATAGACATAGCACCATACTCATCTGCAACAAGACAACTGAAATGAAATAAGAGATATGAAAAAAAAGTTGATAAACACTGAACAGAACATTGCACCGCCACAGCGGCTGTTTGGCTAGTACTGTAGGTAAATTTAAAAATTTCAGTAGAAAATGCGGCAGACTAAACCTCGACATATCAGCTTCAAATTTGGCATGGAGTCTTAGATATGTATAAGGAACAATGCCTGAAGAGTGCAGCTTTGAGCAAAATTTCACTGCCCCCTACTGTACTGTGACACAGAAATAAGTAGATTAGCAGGAAAAGCAAAGAGAAAATTGTATATTTTAGGCCTACTTATACCTGGAAACTAACAACAGCCAGATTCAAACACCATCCTGAATCATTGAAGCTGCCGGACTATCGGATCCCGGATCATACCTGTAGTTGCTTATCTTTTTCTTTTTTCCAATAGCTATTCCAAATTACTTAACCATCAGTTAAGTTATATACCAGCTGCTTTTATTCAAATTGTGGTTGTCAGACTCCAACATGAAGTCTAATAATCTTTGACAGCTTTTTAGCTCAGTCTGGCAAAGTTTGGTAGGTTAAGTTGCATTTTCTTAGTTCATTTTGCCTGCTTTAAAGAAAGTGGAATTCAAATTTCTCCCCCAAAATCCTCAGAAAAACCAAATTGCATCAATTACAATTCCTAGGATAGATATGGGATACTCTCAAAATAAATACAGCTATCCCTCGAGATACAAACACCATGTGGATGAAACCGGGCTGTTCTGGAAAGAAATGCCCAAAAGGACATTCATCACCAGAGATGAAGCTGCTTTACCGGGGCATAAACCCATGAAGGACCGTCTCACTCTATTGCTTGGTGCCAATGTTTCAGGGGATTTCCGACTGAAGCCTATGGTCGTATAACACTCTGAGAACCCCAGGGTGTTCAAGCAACAAAAGGTGGCAAGAGGACAACTTGGAGTTTATTGGAAGTCAAACCGTAAGGCATGGGTAACGAGACGGCTCTTTAATGAATGGGCAGTTGAGGTGTTTTGCCCTACTGTGAAGAGTTACCTCACCACCAATATAACTTCCTTTAAAGGCTCTTCTCCTTCTGGATAATGCCCCTGGTCATGACCCTGAACTTGCCAGCACTTTGGAGGCTTGATTTGACTTTGTCAAAGTTTTGTTTTTGCCTCCCAACACTTCATCAATTATGCAGCCAATGGACCAAAATGTAATCAGCAACTTCCAGAAGCTGTATATTAAGATGTTCAGGTGTCATCGGGCAACTACCACTCATCCTGATCTATCACTGGCACAGTTCTGGAAGACGCAATACAACATCCTGGAGGCTGTAAAATTAATCGTTTCAGCATGGCAAGAAGTTCCTACTCGATGCCTGAATTCTGCATGGAAAGCACTGTGGCCATCAGCAGTCCATGATTTTGAGGAAATTGAGGAAGAAACAGAGTTGGACAAGGAGATTGTGTCCATTGGTCAGTCAATGGGACTCGAAGTGGAGGATGATGATGTTGAAGAGCTTGTGAGGTCTCATGAGCAGGAACTTTCTCCTGAAGATTTGAAACAACTGGATGAGATGTTAGAAACAGACAGTGGTGAAGAGGAAAAGGAAAGTGATGACCATATGTCTTCTTCAGACTTAAAAGATGTTGTTCACTACTGGGAGATGTTTAGGAAACTGGCTTCAAGGCACCCTGATGTGGAAATAACAAAACCGATATTGTTTACTGTGGAGGACAAAGTGGTCTCCTTCAAGAACCAGCTAATGATCAGGAGGAGAAATGCCACATAACGAACAATTGACAGTTTTTCTCTAAAAGGCAGCGGGAGAAAGATGCTTCCCCTCAGTGTTCCTCTTCAAAAAGGAGAGGATTTTCATGTTAGAGAATCTGTCAGTCCAGAGGTTCCTGACATCATTATGGAAGGTGACTCGCCTTCTAAGAAGCATTAAAATGCTTCTCTTCTGCCTTCTCCTCCTCCTCCCCCCACTTCTAATTCCCATCATCATCATCATCAACCAGCAACATTCTACATACACACCTCAAAGTAAGTGTACTTTATTGCATTTTGTTTATACTTTATATGTACTTTTCTGTGAGCTGAAACCAATTACCCAATATCCCATTGAAATAATGGATTCAGTTAACGAAATCTTTGGTTAACAAACGGCTCTGTGAAACGAATTGTGTTCGTTAACCGAGGGACCACTGCATATGAAAAGGTTACACATCTTATTATTATTGCTTTATTTTAATGGTAATTAATGATTCACCTTATTAAGTTGTAGGCAGCTACCAAACAGGGAGGTACTACCACCTGGGAAGATATTGGAAGCATAATGTGTTGTCTAATGGTAGACCTTGCTGCCATATGGCATCACGAAAATTGTGACCAAGACCCAGGTTGCTGATCTGTCTTTCTGCCTCATTCACACACAATTGCAGGGTCTCAATTGTTTCTCTTACTTAAACAACACAACATACATATATTGTTTCTCACTTGTTATCTTGTTTTTGTTTTTTGTACATCTTTATTATTATTATTACTGTACTATTATTTTTATTATTATTTTATTATTTTTTATTTATCTTTTTTATTATAAATTTTATTTATTATAAATTTTATTTATTATGAATTATTATTATTATTACATATTTGCCCCCAGGTCCTGATGTGGGGCCCAGTAAATAAAAAAACTGCAATATTGGAAGACACATTACCTTCGTTATTGAAGGGTTTACTGTATACTGTATCAGTAAATATGAGGAATAAATAAATATATTATTAAACAAAAGAAAAATATAAAATGTGTTGCCATTTGGCAACCTTGTCACTAGCACGAGACAGCAGAGCTGTGAGAAAATGCCACTCCCTTACTCTTGTGCTAGCTCCCACACACAAAATAAATGTTTAACCCCTTTATATTTTTTACCTCCTGATAATTATATTTTTTTGCACATTCTGTATGAATGATTGTGTGAGCATGTGGGGAAAAAAAAGCATATATATGTACCCAAAACAAAAAGTTGAAAAATAACAATAATGCAGCTCACAGCTTGACAGAAAGTTGCAATACCGACTCTGCATTCCCCTCCTGCTACCCCCTTCCCATGATTCTTGGGGACATAAGATATGTTTATTCCCTTTGTTTTCTGACCTTATGATAGGGTTTTTTTCTTTGTATTTTCACATTATGTATGTAGGATTGTGTGGGCATATAACTGAATAAAAAAAAGTGAAGAGAGTTAAGTTTACCTATCCGAAACTACGAGTTAAAAAATAATCATACCTCCCCCAGCTCGTCCTGCTAGTTCTCACTGGTGAACAGAGAAATATTTATTCCCTCGTGATTTTGACCTTATATTTTTTTTTCACATTCTGTTTGTAGGATTCTGTGCATATAAATGAATGAATGAAAAAAGAAGAAAAAAAAAAAGAATGTTATGTTTATATTCCCAAAATTATGATTTGAAAAATAACCATAACACAACTCCTACCTCAGACTGATAGGGAGAGCGCTAAGGGGATGTGGCCGCCCCAGCTGACTCCCAGGAGCATGTGATTTGAATTTTTATCGGGGATAGCTTTTGTAACACCAAATACAGTCGTGGTGTCAATTTAGGAAATTCGTATAAGCAAATTTTTGTATATTGAACGTTTATATCTCAAGGGATACCTGAAACAACTATTCTTTTATACAAAAAGGCTCAAGAAAGCTCAAGATTTAGTTAACTTGAACAGTAAAGTATTAATTTTGATGGTTTATTAGGTAAGCATATCCATGAATACAAGTCACATTGTCAAGGCACACCTTAATGTGTACACCCCCACCCCATCATTAAAAAAGTGGCTTCACACATAATTTTAATGCCTGCCCTTTATTCATGCCAAAGCACTCAATCCAATGACTTTTAAATCCCACATATATGCTTCTTAACAGACAACACACAATCATAACCACAGACAATAATTCCTTAATAAAAATTATTGTTAAAAGAGAAAGATATAATGAAGTATTTCCATAATACAGGAAATATGTTGGGATACATACAATAAATTTTGAAAGAATTAAAACAATGCATACTGTACATACCTAGCTTCACTCCCCCTTCCATGGTTAGGAGGACATTACCCGCTTTCAAGTCCCGATGTATCACCTGATGATGACAATTACATTCACAATCAATCCATATATAAAATAAGTTATATAGGCATCAACTACAACTGATATATATATATATATGCATTTTCCTACTTACAAATAATATTTATAGAACACTACAGTACAGGTAGTTTGAAATTTCCAAATGAAAAACAAGATTTTTTAGACCAATCCAAATTACCTATTTTTCCTCATCATACTCAACTTAAATTGTATTCAACAGAGGATACTGTACTGGTACCTATCAATCTATCTTTTCAAGATATAAATTGGAAGATGGACAAGATTTTCAAGATGAATGGCCTGAGAAAACTACTGCTTCTCTTATATGCCAGTATGGGAGACTACAGGAACGTTGTACTGTACCCTTTCTCATACAAACCCTGACCCATACCTTGTACAGGCAGGCTTCCTTCTGTGTTCAGACAATTTTCCAATCCTATATGACACATTGGTTCAGCTTTAACACATTAAAAAATGCATTAAGGATTTATTACTGAGAAACAATATTGCCAAAAATATATATGAATTTTTTTTAGTAAACATGTGTCTCACAACATTTAATGTTGGCTGGAAAGAAAAAAAGTTTAAAATATGAACAAACTCATATGACACACCTTTAAGGGTCCCTATATTATAGAAAGTCTTCTTGAGAGAAACCATTATGCTTATTGGGTATTTTAATTTGAGAAATTTTACCAAGAACACAGAGAAGTTCTGTTATATCTAATAATAGTCAATCCACATACAGTACTATCACAAACCTTACTACCACTGTTAAGAGGATATAATCTTCTGTCAATACCCATTCCATTGACCAGCATTGACATATTTCTTCAATATTCTTCTACCTTACCTTCAGTCTTCCCCTTTTCCCTCTCATCTCTTCCATGTAAAACTTCTTTCTCAACTAATTCTCATCCAATTTCTCCACATAGCTATACTACTCCATATTCCATCCTTCATTTTACCACTGATCCTTTTCTTTATTCCATATACTGTAAAGTATTCCTCTCACATTCTCATATCTCCCATTTGTCCACTCTTTTCACACTTTACTTCTAGTAGCATTGACCTTCCATTATAATATCTAGCAGCTCTATTATCCATCTATATACAGTACAGTATTTGAACAGTTATGTGACCTCATGGACACTATAATGAATATGACGATTTTCATAGGATCCATCCTGAGTACCACAACCAAGGCTAAAGCTTAAACTATACCACATACCCCCATATCTTTTTTTCACTCATGTCTTTGCTCTCATGCTCCTTTACTAGAGCATAAATGCTCTCCCTCAAATGACTGTTGAATACAGTACAGTACTGAGGTCTTATATTTCACTTAAAATAAACAACAAAAATAATATTAGAAAAAACACACCATACTTACTTACCTTCTGATCATGTATATATACAAGTGCTTCAACAAGATATTTACAAACATAGGCAATTTGAGGTTCTGTAAGAGGCCGGTAGAGATCCGCCATAATGGAATCCATGGCCCCACCATCACAGTATTCCAGGTACATCTGAAAAATTAATTTAATCATCAAAACAAAGCATCAATAAGACAAAGCATTACTAAACCTTCCACTAAATTTTCATTAAGTATTTCTCTGAATTTTACTGGGTTTTTACATGATGAGGAAGAGGAGGCACGAGAAAAAGATAATAAAAAAATCCTAAATTGTGCAGGTATTATGGCAGTTGTGTGAGAAACTAAAGTATTCAGTAGAATAGAGAGTTGAAGGACTTACAAACATTACAGGTACTGGTCAATAAAAAAGAAGATATCCTATCATACCTTGAGGTCTAAAAATATGCCATAGGAATAAGTCAAGGAAATCAAAATTGCCACACACACCAAAGAATGGATCATATCAACTATATAAAATGAAAAACTATCCCAAGAAAAGAACGTGAATCGATGAAGTGTTCAAAAACTGAGGAAATACAATACAGACTCACTTGTCTCTTGCCAATACTATGTATAAGTTGGATGAATAGAGTGAGATTTCCTGAGATATTTCTTTGAAACAGTTGTATAACATTTTCCCAGAGTTACTATTGCAGTAAATGGCTTGGATCAGTGAAAATTCCAGTACTGTACTGTACTATAAAACAAGGCTATTGCCACTTCACTCCACCTACATGTCCAGTATAATCTCACAAGGTGTGGGTGGGCAGCTGGTGTCTAATATAGATTTTAAGAAAAAAGTTTTCTATATGTACATTTCAGTATTCTGATTTTATGATTTTATTTATTTTTATCTAAATAAGTGAACTACTTTTTATTCACTGATCATTAGAATTTACAGAGAACTGATGCTTAAGAAACTATGTTCAACAGTCAAAAGAATAATAAGTAAAATTTATGAAGCTTCTCACTGAATTGTCCACGAAATCAGTCTTTTTCTACCTTTAGGAAGATCACTTAGATCCTCTACACAACCCAATAAAAGCAATGTCAGAGAGAACAACTTGCCCAAAGTTTGCCAGTGAAGTGGTAAGCCTCGAGTAGTTCAACAATGTTTTCATGTTTGCATTCTGAAAGAATGTCAATCTCTATCATAAATGTTTCGAGATCCTCCTCTTCTTCCAGTGCAACCTGTTTGAGGGCAGCGAGCTGTTTCGTCTCTTTGTGTACAGCCTAAAAGATAAAAAAGGTATATATAATTAGCTAAGTCTTATTATATACCACAACATAGTGAGGTACAGTATTATAAAAGGTCTATCCTTAGGAATAAAACATACATATGTACACTGTACAGTACACTTTATATCAAACAAGTGACCTTTAATCTTTGGATACTGAAACACCAAATATTTGACCCAAAATAATGATTCAACAAACAAGAGCAATGTTGGTAACAGCACCTCCTTGTGTACTGAAGACTTAAGACATAGTGTGTTGTATCCAAACTGACCCTAGTGGGTAGTCATGTCTACTGAACCCATTTTCACTCTTCACAAGTAAATTCTAAGTCCACATTTCCTTGCTCTGGCACCAATTGTATTCTATATATCAAAACAAACACAGTATGGAAGATGTGACACATATAAAATTATTATTAATATGAAGCTTCTTAGGTTATATACAGTATACCATCACCTAAATACGAAGACTGGGCTGTCAGGAGTGCTTTCTGTCTCTCGCTTGTCTTAGCAAATTTGGTCAGACATTCCCAGTGAAGATTTGAGCTTTCAAGCACTTTAATTTGTGCTAAAAGTTGACAAAAAACTGTCTCAAGTTATGCCGGAAATTCAGATTCAGAGGCATATTACTGTATCCTCCTTTCTATGAATTCATTATACTCCCCAGCCCTACTTATAAAAATGTGAGGTGGAACAAATTATAATCCCTACCTCCAGGAACACATTTATCAATCTCTGGATCTTTCCCCCATTTGCATCTGACAAACCCTACCAAAGCAAATTAACAATCCTTGTTAGGTCTAATAAAGTTTATACTGTATACTTAAAAAAAAAAAAAATAAACTTCTTGTTTTAAAACCTTACCTTGTAAACTTTGCCATAGGCTCCATCTCCCAGCTCTCCAATAATATCCCAGAATTCTTCTGGGTTGTCCAGCCGAACATTATGAAAGTGCTTTTTCTTTTTGGCCGAAGATCCACCTTTAAATATGTCTTTGAATTTGGAGATCAGCGGCATTGTTTCTGAAGCACTAGTGATCACATTATATAGTGTTCATTCTAGCCTGGAAGGAATAAAAATCTAAATAATTTAAGGAGACTAACACTGACAAGGAAATAACATAGCTTCAGTACTGTGTCTCCCCATTCAATCCCACATTATAAGCACTTTCTGCCTCATTTACACACAATTGCAGGGTCTCAATTGTTTCTCTTACTTTTACAGCACATGCATATATAATTTCTCACTAATGTTTTTTTTATTATTTTTTTATTTATGGGTTTTTATTATTATTATTATTATTATTTATACTTTTATTATTTTATGAGTATTATTAATATTTTATTTTATTATAATTGTTATTACCTTTATTAATTCTATTATTATTATTATTTTATTATATGTTTGCCCCCATGGGCCTTGATGTGGGTCATTAAAAATGACCTGTGCCCCGGTGGGCTAATGGCCGTATTAAAAAAAAAAAGCGGTTAATAGGCATTAAGCCTTTAGTAAATTACTTTTTCATAAATCAAGAGCACATTTTCCCATATACAGTAGTACAGTAAAAGTCCAAAAATCCGGATGCCAGAAATCCGGACCACCCGAGAATCCGGAATTTTCAAAAACGATTTTTTTTTAGCGGGCATTTGTGTGCATGTGCGCATGCGTGAGCGCCACAGCTGCACAGCGACAACAAGCGACCACGTGGTCGCCACTTTAAAATGGGCAATCAAACTGTGACAACATACCGTATATACTCGTCTATAACCCCCCCTCGTTATCAGTCGACCCTGATTTTTTGACCAAGAAATCGTTAATTTATGATATTCCTCGTTTATAGTTCCACCCACGTTTTTGAGGGTAATGGAACAACAAAACCACTAAAAACGCTCTACGTCCTATAAACTGAGGCTCGCCGTGCATGAAACACAAGTGCTGAAGGCAAATTGTTTACCATTTATTATTACGACACTTTACACTGAAACCCGGGTAGTTTCAACAAAAATATTGTATATTTCCATTCAAGTATTTATTCAAGTCAATTAGGAGGGAATATTATTGAAATACAACAGTTTTTAAACTAAACCATTCGAAAAGCGATTACGGTAACATCTTTTGAACGAAAGAAAGCGAAAGTCATTGTTTTCGTCATGATTTTATCCCACTTTCCACTGTAATACGTATGTAATTTCAGGAAAAATATTACATTTCCGTGAATGTATTATATCAAGCACAGTATGAATAGAATATCATTGTAATATATCAGAATTTTAACCGAAAACTATTAAAAAAACGAGTAACATCTCAAGAACATCGGAAGCTTAGGTAAAGTCTTTTGTTTTCGTCATGTATTTTATCCTATTTTACATTGAAATACGTCACGTTTCCACAAAACTACTATTTATCTCCGAGAATATATTCATTCAGGCGCAGTTTAGGTAAAATAGACGAGTGATGTAATAGTTTTTTAACTGAAAACGATTCGAAAAACACGTACCCTCTAGCCCTGTTCAAAGAGAGGACTGGGAGAAGCTGTTTGGTGCTGCAGACGATGACAAGGAAAATGATTTTGATGGATTTTAATGAAAATATTCAGAAATATGGTATCGTAGTATTTATTCAAGTCAATTAGGATAGAATATTATTGTAATACAACAGTTTTTGAACTGAAAACCATTCGAAAAGCGATTACGGTAACATCTTTTGAACGAAAGAAAGCGAAAGTCATTGTTTTCATCACGATTTTATCCCACTTTCCACTGTAATACGTACGTTCAGCAAAAATATTACATTTCCGTGAATGCACAGTATGAATAGAATACCATTGTAATATAACAATATTTTGAGTCCTACTCTTTCCATTTACAGAGTACTGTACAAGCCCATAATAATGGCTCCTACAGTAGATAAACTTCGTTGTGTGAAGAGAAAGAAGAACACATTGAAATTGAGTGACAAACTTGAAATAATTAAGAAACTAGATCGTGGTGTGAGCAATACTGTTCTAATGGAAACATACGAAATTGGAAAGTCTACAATTTATGATATATAAAAGGCAAAGAATAAAATTTAGAATTCACAGCTTTTTCATTAAAACTGCTCGTTTTGATAAATGAAGCATGCTATATTTGCAAATGAATAAACTATCAAAATGTACCTGTTCATTTCTTCTTTATTCTTCATTAAATTTGAATTTTAAAAGTACTGCCTGAGAATCCGGAAAATCCGAAAATCCGGACCGACCCAATCCCCAAGCAGTCCGGATTTTTGGACTTCTACTGTACTGTACTGTACTGTACTTCCATTACAAAAACTGAGATATATTCCAACAAAAATTTTTACTCCCATAATGCCTTAAAATGCCACAAGACATGTTTTATGGTAATGTTTGGTGTACACAATGATTATATGTCATTAACAAACACAATAAGTGAAACAAATGCAAAACCAGTAAGGAATACAGTACAGTAATTATATTCTATACTGTAAGGGTAATGTACAGTACTACAGTACTGTACCTGTACTGTACTTAAGACAAACCAGATAAGATTCAGTATGAAATATTAAGCCAAAATATATAAAAATATATAAAGGTTTAATAATACACTGATTCCCACTATAATAAGATATACGTACAGTATCCATAAAAAAATAAACCCTTGATAAATTAATGCATCATCCTAAGTTCCCAGTGCTTTGTTTATATGGCACGAACAGTGCCGGCACTCAGCTGATGCTACTCACACTCTTTCATTTGACAATAAATTCCACAACTCCAAACTTTCATTCACTTCCAATTGCCACACCTTCTCTTACAACTCTACACCTTTATTTTACATTTTCATGAAATTTAAGAAATGTGTACAGAAAATATTTTTAAATTTAATTTTCCACATACTGTACTGTATTTTATGAGAGCAAATGAGAAGAAACTAAACAACAGCCAACTGGTTAGGCACAGTACTGGTGGCTTCATGAGAGACTGAGGAGTAAAATTACTGCATATGGTGATATACTGTATGTGACCCATTAAAAGTTTCCAGTACTGTACAGTATTTGTAGACTGTCTTAATAACATTGCAAGTGATAGAAAATGCAGTACTGTACTGTAATGAAATAAGAAAACAAACTGCAGTGAAAAAAACACCTAGTGTATTATCTTACCATACAGGTATATTCATTATTACTTAACAAAAAATTGAAAAAAAAATTAACGTTAATTTTTTTGTTCGTAACCCCCCCCCCCAAAAAAAAATTTATAACTTCAGATATTTTTAAACTGAACCTTCATGCCACCCCACCATTTGCATCCCCACCTCTCCACCAACCACCACAGTATCACCCTCTTCCAACATTGATCTCCCTATGCTTCAGTAGCCAGATTTTATCCTACTGTACAGTACATTCCATCAAGTTCCAAACTTCCACATACGAAGGTAATTAGTATTGGTGACTTAAGTTTCTCATGCACAGTACCTGTACAGGTATACAGAAGTGCATTAAGGTTCTTTTCGCAGTCTTGCCAATCCTTGGAACCTTACCCCTCTGAATAGCAACGATTTCCTGTATAGCATGCCCTTCAAATGCGCGGAGGTTAGGTTCTCAAAATGGCCGCAAATCGCCAAACCCGTGAATAACCTTTGCTGACCAAGGGAGTGGGGGGTGGGGGTTTCATTTTTACTTTCTGTGTTTGCCCTTAGGACAATTATTTCTTTTACCTATATTGTATATACAGGGAGTCCTCGCTTAACATCGGGGTTACGTTCCTAAAAACGCGACGTTATACGAAACAACGTTAAGTGGATCAATTTTACCCATAAGAAATAGATAAAATACAGGAGTTACATTCCTGAGTCTCCCTTTGCCCCATTAAATACATTACATATACTGTACAGAAAATCATAGCCATTTCTATTGAAAATAGTGCATACATATACAACTACTAAGTTTGTATTGGTACGGTACTCACCGATGGGTGGAGGTGGTAGAGCGAGTGTGTGGTGGGTAGTGAAGCAGAGGAGGAGGATGGTGGGAGCGGAGGAGTGTGGTGGGAGCGGAGGAGGAGAGGAGGAGGGTGGTGAGTCACTGAGACTCTATTCCGAGCCGTGAGAGCGTAGCGCGGCCAGACGAGAGAGGGCGATACGCCATAGAAAGTAGTCCATGACGGCGCAAAACGACGTAGTATCGGATCACCGGGATGTTAAACGAATTTTTGGTCTCTTAAAGTTTAGCAACGTAGTACTGAAACGACGTTAAGTGGGACGACGTTAAGCGCGGACTTACTGTATTAAAAATATTGAGTCTACCCTCAAGTCCACTCCTTGCTTTGTTATTAATAAAGCACAGAGTGGACTTGAGGGTAGACTCAACATTTAAAAAAAAAATCTGATTACTTGAGAGGATTTTCCCATTATTATTTATTTGTATGTTTTGTGTGTGTGTCCACACACACACACACATACATATATATACAATACAGGTAAAGGAAATTACTGTCTCTAGAACCAATGGCTACCTGTCCCAGCCGCGAAAATGCTGACAACTTTAAAACTACCCTTAGACATTCGTGGATACATCCAGGGTGTCTTCCGCGAATAATAGAGGACCGCGAAATAAAAATCCGCTAATTATCCTGGCATATTGTATGGCAATTTGGAAATCACAGCTAACCCACACAAGCCTGGAAACTTGCCATAAAACAACAATAATAATGATAACCTAATAAAAAACGAATTTTTTATATAAACATGTTTACTCATATGATCCAGTAGCTATAGCACAGACCAATGGGGTTAATGTCCCATTTGATAAGACAATGCATATTCTTACCCAGATTAACAATATGTAATTTTTTTTTAAGAATTCATCCTTGATGTCAGTTTCTGGAAATATGTGATTACATAGAGAAAAATGTCACAATTTGGATGTAACTCTCATCAAGGAATCTAATCCAGCAAGTCTTATCCTCCTAACATGTATTTTTCCACAATTAGTATGAGAAATTTGTTTTAGAATTTTCAATGATATGACCTGACCCACCATAATGGTTCAAAGACTACTGTATACAGGTGCTCCTCTACTTATGAACGAGTTACGTTCCTGAGACTTGTTTGTAAGTCCAATTGTTTGTAAGTCCAACTTTACTCTTGTAGATACCAAACATATTGTAAAAAATGAAAAGATTATGGATATTTAGTAAAACTATGCCCTTTAATACAGCCTTAAAACCTGGCTCGCTCTTCTCTTCTTAGATAATGTTTGTTCTAACTGGAATTTTCATCAAAATAATCCAGTCTCATCCACATTAAACACCTATTGTGGCAGGTAACCCCCCTCAGTGATGATGTTTGTATCTCTGAAAGTTTGTAAGTTGAACGTTCTTAAGTAGATGTTTGGTCATATTTAATGCTGTTATGGCAAAGTTATGCTTCCTTATACATTATAGGTGACAGTACAGAAACACAGACCAACACACAGAAAGGGTCAATCCATAACTCACAATTTTTTGGGTAATGATGTAGTTAAGGACAAGGGTCCAGGTTAAACAGCTACGAAGATCTAATGAAAAGTCTTTACAGAAAAAACTTCTTTCTTACCTCAAGAATAACCCAAATTGCAGAGCCTCCAACTTTTGACAAATACTTTCCAGCGACCAACCAACCTCAGAACATTTGCCAGCCAGCAACCAACTGACCTTCAGTGATAATAACATTCACTGGAAGTGTTCGTGTAAGGACAATGAAGCTGGTACTGGGATGCCACCACCTTCGTGTGTATCACCAAACTAACAATATTATTAAAGGCAACAGCAAGTCTTGCTAGTACAGTATTAGTCTTTGTAGCTGCTGGTATATTATTATTACTGTATTACGATTCTTAGCAGGAGACTTATTTATCTTTATCATCATCACCTATACAAATATTTTCTAAAAGTGTTTCTAAAGATCTTTCGTGATCCTCAACTATCAACTTTTAAATTTTTCACCACAGAAGATATATGTTTTCATATCTCTTGAAAGGCTAAAAAAAGTGGATGAAGAATACATTTATAATAATAAAAGTTTTAAAATGTGTTCTCTCCTAAACACAAATCTGCGACAGCAACAGACTTTACCACCTTCATAGCGCCTTAATTATGTCCATGAAGGGTGGATGGTTCTTTGATAAATGGGATTAACTCTTCTAAGATGATAATAAAGATTAACTGTACGTATTACAGTATTTTACTAAAGGGAAGGATAGGTTAGTAGGTTAATTTTATGAATGATATATAAATACTGCAGTAGTAGCTGGAACATCCAGGATGTGTCAGTGGTTTTAAGGTCAGAATTTTTTTTATAGATGATAATACTGTATATTATAGCTCTTATTTTAGATTGTTAGATTGGTTTATTTTATGAACAATTATTTCTGGATCTTGGTAACCGAAACATGCAGGATGTAAATATAGGAGCATTGACAGCGCCTGAACTCAAATCTCCTGACCATTGACCAGTGTTCAGGAGAGAGAAGTGGTAAAAATTGCATTACAGTAAACATTTTCCTCGTCCACTTGTTGGCACTTTCGTGTCCTAGAGTTGGTAGTTCAGGAGAGCAAGACATACAGTATTAAGAATTACTAATGATTTCTCTAAGTATAAAGATATCCTCACATACCTCACAATCATAAACTCTGCACAACATCTCATAGGATAAAACATAAAAAAAATATTGTGCTTCAATACAGAATTTAAGTACATTCCAAAATATAAATCATAGTGGTATTTGCGTACAGCAGCCGTAAGCCAAAAATCACACTGGATATAGGTAAGGCAGCCATATTGACAGACTGTTGTTAATGGTTAGGTTAGGTTAGTAAATTTCATAATATAGTCTGCCCTTCAGGTATGTGCATTAGGCTGCCCACCATGTATGTGCATTAGGCTGCTGAATCAATAAACATCAATGTTTTGCATATGGCTGCCATACCTATATCCTGTGCCCCCCAATAATTATAATTCACAAGAAATTTTCAAGTAATAGCATAGTAAAACTTCTCTAATTTTTACTTAACTGTTCTGCTAAAATCAGGAAGAGTTCACGGATCATATCTGTTTATATCCTGAAAAAGAAATTCAATGGCCTACTTGTTATTTTCAAAGTACTGTACTGAATACTCAAAATCATGGTTTCCTTCCTTCCTCTACAGACTTGCATTCTTTACATCACAAGAAATGTCTCCTGAAATTTGTCAAAATAACAAATCATTATGACGGGAATAAATCCAAGAGACATCAATACCAAGAGCAGATTAACACTTAGCCCGAAATTTTTTTTATCCTGAATTAACCAAACACTCATCAGTACCGGTAATTCTTGCTCACTTAGACACATCGAAATTAAATAAGTTTTAAAGTAATTACAAAGATGAAGAGTCCTGTACAACAAACCCAACTGTCAACCGAGACTGACTTGTGACGATTCAAGTTCATTATGGTGTACACCTTTTGTTCCGTGTCTAGTATCTATCACTGTTAATTTTCACTGTATCACAGGGTGTGGACTATAATAAGCCATCAGTGTAGTAAGGGGCGGAACGCGTCAGAAACTAACTTTTGGTTCAGTTCTACTTCCTCATTACCAACTCTCAGGAAACCAAACATCACTGTAAACAACACTCAGTTCTCTTCATTCTTAAGTCCACCGTCATTCTTACCTGTAAAAGTTTAGACTATAATCCTTTAGGACGTTTAAAATATTGTATAGTATGACCAAAATTCACCACTTACATCACAATCTTCCAGAAATCACTCCTAGCTTATCTAGTCAACACGCCATATTGTGCACCACCACACCTCAACTGTCCAGGCTCGCCCGCCAGCTGCTCCCGGAGGCTCCCACTAACAACTAAAACGAGTCATATTATGGTGCCCGTTTTCTCTCACCATAACAATATACAATACAATAGTTATATTATCACACTAGTGTCCAATGATTCAGTTAGTGTAACGAAATTTTTCGTATGTAGTTCATTAGAGCTTCCACACTTTGCCTGTTAGATAACATTTCTTGATACTTGCATCAACTAAGTGCTGACAACTCCGTACCAGAGAATGAATGTAGTCATTCAGAGTAAACTATGTGCCATTGTTTTGAAGAACAGTGATCTTATTCACTGTGACTTTTCCACAACCATATTCATAATCACGTACGCGCTGATTTCAAAACTTCAAGAGTTATATCATCAATCAGTATGCTATTACGAAAAATACAAAAATAAGATTTTTTAAGTTACCCATACTATGGCACAAGCCGCAGTCATTCATTCATTCATTAACAGTCCTCTCCACATGATAACCATGATAACTATTTCAGGACTGAAATGACTAAAGCAATCATCTCGCCGCACGGTTTTATGTAGGGAGCTCATGCTTAACACAATTGCTCAAGGTATTGGAAATTTGGACCCATATTCTGGAACAGGGTGGTAATATTGACAATATATACCTAGATTTTGTCAAGGCTTTCGACAGTGTACCCCACGAAAGGCTGAAAATCAAACTGGAAGGGTACGGAATTCGGGGAAATGTCCTAGCGTGGATAGAAGACTTTCTACATAACCGCAAACAGTGTGTGGTGATTAATGGCACGAAATCGTCATCTGTACCTGCAATAGGCCGGTTGGCCTGTGCATAGCAGCTCCTGTCGAGAGTTACTACCACTCTCTATCATCCATGAATCTATCTAGCCTCCTTTTGAAACTTTCCAGAGTTCCAGCACTTACTACAAAGTTGGTAAGCTTGTTCCACTCGTCCACCACCCTATTTGTAAACCAGTTTCTTCCTATCTCCCTCCTAAACCTAAACTTATCCAACTTGAATCCGTTGCTCCGAGTCCTATCCTGCTCGGATATTATAAGAACTTTATCTATATCCCCTTTATTGATTCCTTTCACCCACTTAAACACTTCTATCATATCTCCCCGCACTCTTCGTTTTTCTAGGGAATGCAAGTTAAGTTTCTTTAACCTATCCTGATATGGAAGGTTTCTAAGTCCCGGAATCATTTTTGTCATTCTTCGCTGCACCGACTCTAGTGAATTTATATCCATTCTATAATAGGGGCACCAGAACTGAACCGCATAATCGAGGTGCGGCCTGACTAGCGCAAGATATAGTTGCAATAAGACCTCTGCACTCTTGTTACTTACACTTCTAGATATAAAACCCAATACTCTGTTTGCCTTATTTCGAACATTAACGCACTGTTTTCTAGGCCGTAGGTCCGGGCTTACAAGTACCCCTAGGTCTCTTTCACAAGTCGACTTCTCTAGGTTGATGTTGTTAAGGCTGTATACATTATAAGTATTTGTTCTTCCAATATTAAGTACGCTGCACTTGCTGGTGTTGAATTTCATTTGCCATTTTTCAGACCAACCCTGCAGTTTATTTAGATCCTCCTGTAATGCATTTGCATCCCGCCCTGAATTAATTTGCCGCCCTATTTTGGTGTCATCCGCAAACTTGCTTATGTCACTGCTGATCCCAGTATCTAGATCGTTTATGTAGATTATGAACAAGAGTGGGCCTCGTACTGACCCCTGGGGAACCCCACTGGTTACACGGCCCCACTCAGATTTAACACCGTCTACGCTGACCCTCTGCGTTCTATCCGTGAGCCATGATTTTATCCAATTTAAAACTTTCCCCTCGATACAGTGAGCCTTAATTTTTCTCAGAAGCCTCTGATGCGGTACTCTGTCAAATGCTTTACTAAAGTCTTAGTAAATAACATCGTAATTTTCGTCATTATCTACTACCTCGAAGACTTTCCTAAAAAACGTTAGCAGATTTGTTAGACAAGATTTCCCCTTTGTAAACCCATGTTGAGAGTCGTTGATTAATTTGCTTTTCTCTAGATGCGATCGGATGCTATCTGCTATAATTGATTCAAGAAATTTCCCCAATACTGACGTCAAACTGATCGGCCGGTAATTTGACGCTGATGCTCTGTCTCCCTTTTTGAATATGGGTACTACATTTGCCTGTTTCCACAAGTCTGGCACAACTCCAGTGTCTAATGATTTTGTAAATAAGTTTACGAGGGGTCCGCTAATCTGTTCCCTACACTCTTTCAAGACTCGAGGGAAAATTTCATCCGGCCCTGGGGATTTTGTTTTCTTTAGTTTATTTATCTTCTTAAGAACATCCTCTTTTCTGATAGTGACATTCTTTAATTTCTCTTCTTCCTTTTCCTTAAATATCAGTTCCACCTCTGGAATTTCATCCCAAATTTCTTCTGTGAAAACTGATAAGAAGTAGCTGTTCAATGCTTTGCTTATTTCTTCACTGCCATTTATCACTTCTCCCCTCCCTGACTTTAAAGGCCCAACTTTGTCCTTGACCTTTGTCCTATATACCTGGAAAAATCCCTTGGGATTCGCCTTGGATTCTCTTGCTATTTTGATTTCATAGTCTTTCTTTGCTTTCCTTACATTTTTCTTAACATTCCTAGATAGTTCATTATACCTGTTTCTGAGCTGCTCCTCCCCTCCCTTTAATTTCTTATATATTCCTTTCTTTATTCCTGTGTCATGTTTAAATTTTCTGGTCATCCACCTTGGCTCATTCTTATTTGACCTAATTTTTTTGTATGGTATATTTTGTTCTTGTGCTTTATGTAGTATACTAGTGAATATATTATAGTCATGATCAATTGTTGTGTCATCTATGACCTCACCCCTTCCTACTGGGAACTGACGTGACTGTTCCCAGGGGACCTCACCTAGGTACCTTCTTAACCCCTGATAATCCGCCAACCGAAAGTTTGGGACTCTGACCATATTGTCATTGTTTTTCGTTTCCCAATTTAGGGTGAACCTGATTTCTCTGTGATCACTGTTACCTAGTTCTTCCCCTACTGTGATATCTCTGATAATATTTTCTTTATTTGTTAATACTAGGTCTAATATATTGTCACCTCTAGTAGGTTCTGTAATTAGTTGTTTCAAAAAATTGTCCTGTACTGCGTCTAGGAAGTCTTCAGATTCATAGTCGCCTACAATGTTGTCCCAGTCAATATTTCTGAAGTTGAAATCCCCCATAATGCATAGGTTGTTATATTTTGCTGCCCTACTCATTTCCTGCCATATGGGCTGAGCTGCTTCTTTGCCAAGACTTGGGGGCCTGTAAATCACTCCCATAATTAGTTTTTCTCTTCCTTCCGTGATTTCTACCCACACAGACTCGGTTCCTATTTCACCCTTTATTGAATTATTAATACAACATGTTAATGTATCATTGACGAAGAGTGCGACCCCTCCCCCCTTCCTACCTTACCTGTCCTTGTGAAAAAGGTTGTACCCTTCTATGTGGTACTCTGATAAAAAAATTTTGCTCGCCAGATTCATCCAAGTTTCGGTGATTGCTATGACGTCTACATTCTCGGTACATACAACCGCTCTCAGCAAGTCTATTTTATTTCTAACGCTCCTACTGTTTGTATAGTATACATTTAAACCTACCCTTCCCTGGTCCTGTTTTACCCCTTGTCCTGAGCAACTAATTTTACTTCCCAGGACCTGCTTGTTTTTTGACTCCCACTTTCCCCGACCCCTCTCTACTGGCGAAAACCCCCCTTCGGAGTGACAATTTCACGCTCCAGGGATGCAGACAACGTCTTTACCCCCTCACGAGACAAGTGTACTCCGTCGCGACAGTACAGGTAGTCGTTGCCATAGAATCGTTGCCAGTTATCAATGAATGCCCAACCATTGTTTGCACAATGTTTTTCCAGTCGGCAATTTATAGCAATTGCCCTGGACAGCCATTCACGACCAACCCCTCTTCTAGGCAAGACACCACATACTATCGGGATCCCTCTCCTATCTCTAATCTTCCCCAGCGCCTCCCTATACCTCTTGAAAAGTTCCTCACTCCTAACCTTACCTATGTCGTTTCCTCCCACACTAAGACACACTACTGGATTGGTACCCTCCCCTGACAAAACCCTGTCTAACCTCTCGGCTACATGCCCTATCCCAGCCCCAGGAAAACACACCCTAGTCCTACGTTTCCTATCTCTCGCACAAAAAGCCCTATCTACAAACCTCACCTGGCTGTCCCCAACTACCACGACCTTACCTGTGGGCAGGGTTTGTACATCTGCCCTTTCCTCCCCTTGATCCATACCGTCCTGCCTCTTCTCTTCCTCGCCAGCTTCCTGCAGCACCTGGTAAGGGTTACTACACTCCACACCCTGGTCAGCTTTCCTGAGCCTGACCCTAGTCCCCTTGGAGACAACCACTCTCCACGCCTGCTCCTCCTTCGCAGGTGTCCTGCTAGGCAGGGCACCTACCTGAAGGAGTTCCGTCCTGAGGGCTTCATTTTCCCCTTTTAGAGTGTCAACCTCACTCCTTTACTGCCCCATGTTAATCAAGAACTCCCCCAACAATACACAAGTGGCTGCATTTGTAAGGTTCCTTGCAAGGAATGTAATATGTTTTACTTAGGCCAGACAGGTAAAGATCTTGGAACTAGACTTAAACAACATAAATACAGTGTTAGGAACGGCCAGGAATCCAATGCTGTGTTTGTTTATTTGAGGGATAATAAGCATTGCATTCACTGGGATAATGCCTCCTCAATATTACCTTGTAATTCAATTGACAGTAGGAACATTATAGAAGCTAGTCTCATTAAACATACCGAATCCGTCAACATGAATTTGAGTAATGGTATGTGCAAATTGGATAATTTCGTAATTAAGAAGATTTGTAACCAGGTGAGAAGGTTGGGTCAGCTTACCCTCTGACCTGACTACCGACCGCTGCAGTGCTTTTTTGAAGATTAATAGGGTCATTACCTATACCTGACCACTGTGGGCTTGATCTCA